TACTCCTACGTGTGGTGATGTTTGTGGTGATAAAAGATTCCTGAGAATTGCATGGGCCCTTTTCTGGAGGTAAAACATGGCAAGTGTAATTTATGTCATGTTAAGCCTGTAATGAAGGTTAACTGAAGAGTACGGCTGCAACAATTTGAGTATCAGGAATCAATGTCTACCTTAATGAAAATCTGGTGTTGTATAATGGCCATCACTTTTCGTAAACAGGTTCAATGACATGATTAAGGTGTCAGACTTGAGGTGGCCTTTACTGTGACCATCGTCATGGAGGCAGAAGCTCTTGAGTTTGGGTTCTTTTACCTAGAGGCATTCACAGGTTCATTTTTTTTTAAATAAATTTATTTTATTTTTATTTATTTATTATTTTTGGCTGCATTGGGTCTTCGTTGCTGCACACGGGCTTTCTCTAGTTGCGGCGAGTGGGGTCTCTTTGTTGTGGTGCGCGGGCTTCTCAATGTGGTGGCTTCGCTTGTTGCGGAGCATGGGTTCTAAGCGCGTGGGCTTCAGTAGATGCAGCACGTGAGCTCAGTAGTTGTGGCTCACGGGCTCTAGAGCACAGGCTCAGTAGTTGTGGCACACGGGCTTAGTTGCTCTGTGGCATGTGGGATCTTCCCGGAGCAGGGCTCGAACCCGTGTCCCCTGCATTGGCAGGCGGATTCTTAACCACCGCGCCACCAGGGAAGCCCCACACGTTCATTCTTGAACAGGGAAAATTCTCACCTTGTTTGGTATCATAACTTTCTCCTTTGATGTACTGAGTTAGAGAATACTTTGTAACTTTTCAAGTGATAGGGTTGCCCAGAAATTATCACACCAGGATTCCATAGAGGAAGGAGCTATGAGATTCATTTTTGGAGCTGTGGAAAAGAGAAAGCAGATTTTTGAGCAGTTTGCTTTTGAGATTTGACAGTGATAGCTGGAAAGTTACTTTTTTCCAATTTGATGGTATCTTGATTACTGTTTGCTAACTGAGAAATGCCATTGTAATAGGCATGAAAACCCTGGTTCGGGACAGGTCCCTTTGTGCTGATTGCCCAGGCTGAGCACAATCACTGCAGCTGGGCCTTCCTGATGGATTCCCGCAAGGGCAGTCAGGGAAGTGTTGAAAGTGACTCGGGGAAGCCTGTGTTATTTGTCAGGAAGGTGGCGAGGGCATAACAGACTCCAGGTGGTGGTGCCTGTCCGTGTGCAACCCCATCCACTGGTTCACCTGTGCAGGCTGAGTCTTTTTCTGCGTGAGCCATAGAAGTGTAGTAAATCATTAACTGAGTTACTGATCTATAGGTTAACTTCCACCTCAAGACCACTAGAGGGTGCTGCACCCCTGCGGTAGGGACAGGGCTGTTAGCTCTGCCTCCGTCTCATTCAGTACCGTCCAGCCTTTAGAATAGTCCTTTAACAGATAAAGCTGGCCCGGAAATGGATCAGGAGAGCTGAGATTATTTTTCTGCCAAGTCATCTTTGGTAAATACAGTATCTTCATCCAAATGAATTTTTGGTTTTATTACTTGAATTAAAGCTGACAAGCAGATGACACGATAACCTAGTCACATATTTTTCTGGTATAATAATATTTTTAGCTCCTTAAGATTGCTTACCGAATCAACACAGTTTGCCTTTCAACTAAACAGAAATTCTATACTATTCTCTTCGTAGAATCTTGCAAAGATTCTAGAAATAACCCTTATTCCTTTGTGGGACACAAAAATCTCTATATTCTTTAAAATTTCATTTTTAAAAATTATCCTGTCTCAATTAGTTACTCCCAGACTCAATCCAGCTTTTTGATAGACTTATCTCATGGTTTAAGAAGTGCTTTTTACTTCTGTCAGGTATCTTGTCCCTTGTGGTTTTAAATATTTTGGAAATAAACGGGGATGCTGATAACCTGTCATCCACAGAGGTGTGGTTTAGGACAGGCATCTTCAAATTGTTTTGCTCCCAGGGCTCCTGAGGGAATTTCGAAGAACAGTATACCCTATCTCACAGTTTTAGATCGACATCTATAATGTTTTTAATCACAGCTTTAAATAGTTACAAAGAATATAATACCTGCCTACTGGGAAAATTAGCATTTTAAAATAAAAGCATTCCGTCAGTCCCAGATGTATCCAGTGGATGTTAAATCCCAGAGCAACTTGATATCCATGGTCATCTCTTTAGAAATAGAAAAGTAAGTCCTTTAATATTCAGAGATATTATGTTTCCTAGTATCTTTTCCTCTGAAATATTTCCTTTGTATATATCCCATAATATGTTAATATATTTTTTTTGCTTGAACTTTGAAAAATTCATTACCCTGTCATGTTTCTCCACTACAAAACAAATACATATAAATTTTGGGTTTATTTCTCATAGCCCCAAGGCCTAAGGGTAAATACTTTTACTTTGGATTAGGTTGTCTTTATTAATTAGTAGATTGTAATGCACAAAACCAGGAAATAATAAATTTTGATAAATAATTATTAGAACAGTAAAACCTTTTTGGAAGTGCTGGGTTTGCGGCTTTGAATAAAGGACGCCTCCATGACACCAGTACTGTGGCTTGTTCCTTATTGATCCTGGTGAGAGGAGAGCTGTGCTCCCCTTGTGTAAAGTGGGAGGAGGATGCAGGGGAGAAGCAAAGAAGGAGGACCAGATTGATGCATCCACACAGAACAGAGCAGCTTTAGGAAAGCGTGTGTGTGGACAGCCAGGTAGAAACTGCTCCCCTAGGACGTGTCCGGGCTCGGGTTTGCTCTGGAAAGGCTGTGTGCTCGGAAGGTGGCGAAGCTCCCAGGAGGTTCTCAACGTCCCCAGAAGTGTGAGCGCAGCTCCGCTGGCACACAGTGTGGAGGTTAAGGATGTGTGCTCTCATGTAGATCTTCCTGGGTTCCAGTTCCATCATAGCCACCGCCTTGATGGACCTTATTTTAGCCCTCTTGCTTCAGTGCCCTGTGAAGTCGGTTTATTAGTCCTAGCAGCTACCTTCCAGGGCGGTTGCCGAGATGGAATGCAGGATGGCACAGAAAGCTTACAGCCCAGCACCTGGGTAAAAGCCACTTCAAGCTGGTACTGTGCTTGGTAGTTTGTGTTTGGAACATCAAAATTGAGACTGTTGGGCTTCCCTGGTGGCGCAGTGGTTGAGAGTCCGCCTGCCGATGCAGGGGACACGGGTTCGTGCCCCGATCCGGGAAGATCCCACGTGCCGTGGAGCGGCTGGGCCCGTGAGCCATGGCCGCTGAGCCTGCGCGTCCGGAGCCTGTGCTCCGCAACGGGAGAGGCTGCGGCAGTGAGAGGCCCGCGTACCGCTAAAAAAAAAAAAAAAAAAAATTGAGACTGTTATGTGCTATGTAAAGTGTTTGGCCACAGAAAAGAGCAGAAAGTTTCCTGGTGGGATGTTTTTGAAAAAGTCCCAAGCTGATCTTGGGAAGTGACCGCGGAGGAGAATGTTTCAGGTTGTTGATGTGATTAAGCTGTGCTAGGCATTGTCTGAAAGCTTGAAACATCTACCTTAACATTGTTCAGAGCCTTGCTATGTAATTTACACTTTGCTTTTGAAATGACTAATTTCCTGGGAGGGATTACCCTTAGCTAATGTGTTTAACGGACATGTGCTTGTTTTGCTTCACTACTAAGGTGAAAATTTCCTTTTTTCTCCTTTCTCTAACCTCGTATTTATATTTCCTTATGACATAACCATAGGAAAATTCAGTCTCTTTTCTACCTATGATGTGCTCTTTCTGCTACCTAAACTTGACAAATAGATAAAGATGAGGGAACACAGGCAGCTACTGAGATTCCTGTCACTGACTCTCACCCCGGATCTACGTGCTCTGATATTTCAGGCAAAGGACTAAGACTGCTTTCTGGCTCACGTTTTCCTGTTTTGTCAAAGGAGTAACCACATGAGTTTATTCCTCAATGATTTGTTTTTGTTGTTGCTTTTGTCCTGAAAGGCGAGCCTCCAGTGAAATCTGGTGTTTGAGGCGGTGGCTCAGTGCCAGCTCTGCGCCTTCACGCTCTACCTAATTAGCATCTCTGATCTGTTTTTGATTATCATTAATCTATCTTACCTTTATTCACTTTTTAAAAGAACTTTTTATTTGGAAACAATTATAGACTTACAGGAAATTGCAAAAATAGTAGTAGAAAGCGTCCTGAATACCATTCACCCAGTTTCCCCCAACGGTGACATCTAAGGTAGCCGTAGCATAACATCAAAACTAGGAAATTGACACTCATGTTGACTATTAACTAGAACGCAGACCTTATTCAGTTTTCACTATTTTTTTTTTAGCCTTCATTCGTGTGTGTGTAGTTCTGTACAATTTTATCACATGTATAGATTCATGTAGCCACCACCACAATCAAGATACAGAATTGCTTCATCACCACAAAAGAGCTGCCTCATAATGCCTTTTTGTGTTTACACCCACCTTGTACCCCTCCAACCTCCAAACTCCACTTTCATCTTTGTCCCTAGAAACCTTTCATCTGTTCTCCATCTCTGTAGTTTCGTCATTTCAAGCATGTTATAGTCTCAGTGGATCATATAGTATGTAGAGTGACCTCTTCATTTAAGCATAATGCCCTTGAAGGCCATCTAGGTTGTTGCACAGTATCAACAGCTCCTTCCTCTTTATTGCGGAGTCGTGTTCCCGTATAAGGGAGTACCAGAATTTGCTCAGCCATTCACCCATTGAAGGAATTTTGGGTTAATTCCAGTATTTTACTATCACAGAGAAAGCTGTCATGAACATTCATGTGGAGGTTTTTTGTGTGAACAGAAGTTTTCATTTCTCTTCTTCCAGGATGTTATAAACATATGGAGAATAGCCCTGCCGGATCCATGGTACACAGTTTAAGAATATTTCTGATCATTTTTAGAGTTCAGTAATAAATAATGGGTCTCATAGGATTTTATTTAAATAAGACTGTGTCACTGTAAGAGAATGAGAATGGAATGCAGAGAGTTTAATGTAATGCTTTTCATGCTTTTTTAAAAGACTCCTCAGACAACAAGGAAAAGAAATCTTTCAGCCTTGAAGAGAAGTCCAAAATCTCCAAAAACCGTGTTCATTATGTGAAATTCACAAAAGGTAAAATGAAGCATTTCTTTCCTTGTTTGAAATCTCTGTGTTCACACTGGATTTCTTAAAGCATTTTTAGCTCTTCACTAGCATCACTTGTTTTACTTACAAAATGGGGAAGGAGGGCCGCGCTGACTGGATTGATCTGAAGCAGCGCTGACGTTTCAGCTCTTGCTGTGAGTCACCGGAGGTCTTGTTAGGATGCAGATGCAGACTCATTCGTTCTGAGGTGGGCCCCAGGTTCGGCTTTAGACTATGTACGAGTCCTTTGGTAAAAAGCTGAGTGTGGAAGCTAACTTGCTGTTTAGAAGAGAAAAGGGACTTTATGTGGCTAGATCAGAAAATTTTAATTTATCGCTCAACATTTTTATTTACATTTTCCTGTTTTTCAGAGCTTAATGTTGGTGTTGAACAGCTCCTAAAATGTGCCAATTTAGAGAATTATGCGCCATGTTGAGATCTCCAGTATGAGAAATCTCACTCCCGAGTTGACTCTTCTGTTATTCCACACCGTTTCTGTGTTTCATGCAGTGTTAACTTAGGTGTTCCATGGTCACTGCAAAAATAGTGTTAGAAAGCATGTCTTCCTTCATCACCACCTCCCCACTCCCCAGTGCTGTACCTACACGGTCAGTCGTGGGTGCAGGTGTCCTATTTAACCACTAGGTGGCAGTCTTGTATTGGAAAGAAACCATTTAACTTGAACTCATCAACTCCCCAGATGTTTTCCCATGGAACAGTGTTGTGTACTAAGTGTACTTTTCAGGCACAAAACGTTATTTATTACATTAATATACTTAAAGTGTAAGTATGATAACTATGTTATCTAGTCACCATTTGATGGTTCGTCTATGGGAGAGTGGCTGTATGTTTCTACCTCTGTATGCCAGGAAAAGCACGGGTCTTTGCTTTAGTCTCGTTGGCATGATTGGGAATTCCCTGACATCTAGAACCCTGCTGAATAGCAATGGGCACTGGAATTCTCACTACTCTAAACTGTTAATGGTGGCTCTCATTTGGAGCCAGGACCCCAAAAGGTAGACTGGGTTTGGTTTGAGGGAGGGCTCATGGCAGAGCTGAAGGGAGGAGAGAGCCGATTGGGTTCGGGGACACGTGCAGGGAGAGACTGGGGTTCCCCTTCCCTGTCCCGGCAGGTATGGCTTGTCTGGCTCGTCGTGTTAGCCTCTCTTCTTTCAGTCAGGGTAGAAGCTTCTTTGTCGTTCTCCCGTATGGCTTCTGAGCAGGGTTCCTCTCCACCCCTGACCTGCTGCAGGACAGAAAGCAATCCTTGTTGGCCCCTCTGTCCTTGTCGGGAGAGGCTAAATGGTCACTTAATACCCATCCCCTTAGGGGAAAAAAAAATAGTTACAGCAGGAGGGGTGCTGAGCACAAATGAAATTAAAAGTGCGCTGTGACTTTTGGGTAGTACAGCAGTCTTTGAAGCTCTGACTTTTGAGAATAGAATCTTCTCATTTTCCTTTTGTACCTGACTACATGCATGATTTCATCTGAAGCATTTGCCGAAGCTGGGATAAAACTCTTTAATCTAATGGATGCCGGGAGTATCTCCTTTCTGTTTCTAGTTAAGCCACCCCCTTGCCCCTTTACTCTGAGTAGAAGAACTCAGTTTTTTGAGTCTTGGATATAATACAGTGCTATAATACAGTTTTCGCCTTAGCACTTGTTGGGCTCTATGTGACTTTTGTCCTTAAACTAAGAGGTTCCAAATTTCCATGATTATCAAGTTCTTACGTTTATTTTTTATCGTTTTATTTGCTTCCCATATGGACTTCTTGGTGTTGTAAGGGTGTCTGGCTGCGGTCATGTTCCTCTCTTCCCATTTGCTGCGCTGATAGACAGGAACACCTGATAATCCTCATGATTAGAAAAACAGCTAAAATGATCCTAAATAAACTGCTGTTCTCTGAAAGGATCAGATCATCCCTTATGGACTTTGTTACATCAGCTTGGCTACTAGAACCTTTTTTCCTCGGTTCTTGAAATGATATGGACGGTTGAAGACTGGTAGATAGATTAACCAAATCCAGGCAGGTAACACATGCTTCCTATTCTGGTCAGTTTTTTGACTGTCATTTTCTCTGAGACAAGTTTATCAACAGTATTTGCTATGATTTGACCGTCATTCAGAACTGAGGCCAATAACTTTCAAACTCATTTTTAATATGTATATTTTATTCAAAACTGGCCATAATTTTATAACATTTGTAAACTATTCAGCCAGGACCATTAACTAATAACTATTTCAACATCACTTCCATCTTCACAGTTTTATCTACCTTTAAGTTCCTTTCCATTGGTCTCTGTTAATTCTTCTCTGTGTTTTGTTTTCCAGATCAAATCCAGAGCAAGGCCTGTAACAATCCTGGTTTCTACATTTACTTAAGTGAACTTTGCTAAAGGGTAGACATTTCTACCCTTTAGAACCCATCACCAAAACTTTAGAAACACTTGCGCCTTCATTGGTACATTCTTTACTAGCTTGACAGCTTTCCCTTCATCACTGCGTGTTCATGTTTTGACATCCTGTTTTAGAATTGTCATCTTGCATGTACCCTCCCTTCCTTAACCCCTGCAGCATTCCTTTTGGTTCAGTTGCTGTAAAAGAGATTGTCATTTGCGTTTCCTTTAGGGTATCTGTTCCATTTCAGGAGCTAGCTTAGGGATGGGTGGCTGCCACGTATTTTGAACTCAGTACAACTCCTTTTTCTGAACTAGAAACTGCCACCCGAATGTGCTCTGCCGTGCAGAATGGGTTCTGCTGAGGGCAAAGCTTGGAATAGATCTCAGACCTCATGAACGTTGTCCACTTCTCCCCACCAGTTTTATTCCCTACTTTTCTGGTTCATTTTCTGAGTTCCCATCTGGGATAGGCTTCATTTTGCTCTTGAGTAGCTTTCCTTTGGGGTCTTCTGTCTGGGTTCTACGTAATAGCCAGGTAGAACCAGGAAGCTTCATTTATTTCCAGCTCAGGAAGAGAGGCGAGAGCAGCACAGAGCCACGCACGAGCCTGTCCTGGCAGGAACAGGTTGCACTGACTGGACCCATGAGTCTGGTACTGCAGCCTAGGAAACTGGTTTTGGCGCCTGGTTTTGCATTAAATCGAAGGGTGTTTGTTTTTTTAATTTCATGGAGTCACTAAGCAATATCATATTTGAATGCCCCAGTGATAGTCAGTGAACTAGAACCCTTCTGGGTCATGACGGTACTTTGCCAAGTCAGTTTGCTGCAGGAAACCAAGAAGATAAGTGGGTCTGTGACAGTGGAGCTCAGGCTTCCAACGCAGAACAAAGACTCTGGTGTCTAACCCAGAGCCTCACTCCCCCGGAGCCTCAAGACTTTATATGTAGTAGTTACATTTTAGAATACATTTACCGTGAAGTTGACAAATGGGACTAGATTTGGTCCACTGCTCACAGGGTGTTATTGGTAGAAGTGGAAATTCCGTAGAAGTGAGTTCTAAATTAGTTGGTTTGTGGGTTTGAAATTAAGTTAAAGAGTTTAGGGTTTTTAATAAGAATCAAGGATCCTTTGGACACTGTTTTTGCCAGAAGCCATTTAATTTCCGACTCTTATTATGTATCCCTTTATTTAAAAAAGATATAGCTATTACAGTAAAAAAAATTTAAAGAGAAAAATCTGAAACCCTTTCACCCTAATGCAATGAATTTTATTTGCATTTATTAAAAAAATTCATTCATTCAATTAATTATTGAGCTTCTATGTGTCAAATGCAGTATGTTCTCATTCCTGTGCTCATTTGGGGTTTTGGAGCTACGTTTCTTAGCAGCGTTTTTTTTATCCTGCATTTCATAATCCTAAGTAAGTAGCTCATGTCTCCTTGAAGTAAACAGGATCTGTTTTCTAAGTGGGGAGCCCAGAGGCCCAGAAATCATACCTTGAAGGCATACCAGTAGTAGAGCTGCTGTAGAATTGAGCTTTCCTCTCCATCTCCATGCTCAGGGCTGTTTCTAACATTAAGAGAAAGTCAAGGGTTCTGGTTCACTTATTTGATTTTTAAGTGATTTTTAAATTTATTTAATTGCAGTAATCTGAAGGGGAAACAGAAGGTCAGTAGTTTACAAAATTGTTTATTTCTTTTCCAAAACCCATCTTGCTTTCAGGAGTTTCATGGTTTATATTTGTATTCCTTATTTTAGAAAGAATATATTACTGAAGGTGTCATGTTTTTCTAGGGAAGGATCTCTCATCTCGGAGCCAAACAGATCTTGACTGCATTTTTGGGAAAAGACAGAATAAGAAGACCCCCGAGGTATTAAGCCACATACGATTGATTTTTCAGCTGTGTATAGAACTATGTATATTTATTACTCATAGCACTTTCCAGGCAAAGTTACCAAAAAAACCTTCTAGAGGCTTCATACAAAGGCTGAATGGTATCCTCTGAATAGTAATACTTGATAGATGATATGTATTATAAGGAGCTTTAAAAAGAATGTGTGTTCTCTGGGCTTTTTTCCCTCCTGGTGTGAGGACTAGACTAACCTCCGGGAAGAACGCCTGTTGCTGATGGATTCAAAGGGGCCAGCGTCTCCCGGCTGCACGAGGGAGGGAGGCGCTCGCTGCAGGCAGCCATTTTGCTCGCTTTGCTCAGAGCGCGTAGCTCTCTCTGGAGCATGGCTGTGGGGGAGACCGTCAGACTCACGCTCAGTCCTGGGCTCTTCCACCTGAAAGGCATTTTGAGACAGTGTTGGATCGGCATGGAGAATCTGGAAGGGATTTAGATGTGGTATTTCCTCCATTGTACAATATTGTTTGTTTCAAAACTAGAAGAATCGAGTGACTAAACTGCACCCTGAATGGGGTGCATCCGTAATTCATGATCCTAACTATTAAACTGGGCTCTGTAATACAGCACAGAGTTCTTTGTGCCATTTCCAACTGGAAGAGACAGCCCTGAATGTCGTTTGCATATCAAAATAGTAGGATTCTTAGAATATGCATTTCTGGAGATAATGGGAGAAAAATATTTAAAATTGATCTTATTGATATCTATGAAAATCTGAAATATACGGTTGCTCTCACTAGCTATGGTAACTATCACTCAGCTAATCTGATGTGTCATACTCACGTTCCTTTATTGGTTCCTAGTCAAGGTCCTGATGACTACAGAGCAAAAAAGACGTGTTTCATTTATTTCTGACATTTCTCCAGACTGTCAGAAAATTTTCCAGGATGGTAGCTATTTGTTACTTAATATAATTTTCAAAGACTTCAGAATTACCAGTTATTGGAAATTTTGTTTGGTGACTTCCTTTGTAGGTTAGGACCAAACTCCTAGTCTTTCAGCACTTTTCTGCCCCCGCATGTGTAGTCATGAGGACAGAGGAGGGAGGCCTGGGCCCTGGGGCCTGCTGAGCGGCACTTCCTGCAGCTCTGCTGAGTTACGTCTGGGTAGGTGGATCATTAGGGAGGGAGCGTCCCGAGTTCAGGCTGCACTGGATGCTTCATTCACAGGAGGCTGTTGAAAAGAGCCGGGGTCATCAGACAACCCAGCTTCTGGTCACACCTCTGCTCCGCCTCTCCCTGGTTCCTGTGGGATGTGGATTAGGCTCTCTGCCTGGTTCACCAAGGACTTCCGCCCCTGGCTTATCTCAGTTTTCCCCTCCTTCCAGTGTCCTCAGTACCCTCAGGGATGCTCTCTGAGCCTCTGCTCTGCCCTAACAACCCCGCCTGGCCACACCCTGCGCCTTGACCTCAGTGCCTCGCCCCTCCCTGGGTCCCCGGGGACTGTCTTTCTGTCCCAGCTCTCCCAGTCGTGCATTCCCACTGCACCGGCTTTTCTGAATCTTTGCCTTGGATTACTTGATTCTCCCTGCTGCCAGCCTTCATTGCCCCCAGCCTGCGTCCTCTCTCTCCAGCATCCTCTTTGAAATTGTACAGTTGAACAGATCGGGGAAGGAAACATTACTTATGGGCTTCTGGTAGAATTTTAAAAGAATTTATGTGGTAAGCACAGGAAAGCTTTTTGTTATAGGAGATGAGAGGTTTCTCATCCTCTGATCGCCATCTATTTGAGGGCTTACTGGTGTGGGATGCCATAAGGTTTTTCAGCACTGTGCGGTACTTGACTTTTTGGCGGTATAGTCATTTATGATCTGGTTAAAGCGAGCCGTTCCCCTGTATTTGAGGAGTTCCAGAAACAGTTCCCTAGTACTAGCCCAGGGAAAATCTATTTTGGTACACTTGGTGTGGAGAAGACCAACCTTGATATAATTCTGTGTTTTGTGCAAGAATGATATCCAGGCACATCTTAATCTCTCATTCTGCTGATGCAGTTAAGGTCCTGCTTGGTGGAGAGGCTGTGTTCTATCAAGGTGCAGCTCCTGCTCTAGAGCTGTGCTTCTCCACCACAGTTGCCCAAGAATGGGCTGAGGAGCTTTAAAAAAACTGCTCTTGTCAGGGTCCCACCCCAGATCAATGAAATCCAAAGTCTGGGTTAGGGTTTGGGCATCAGCACGTAAGAAAAAGAGAGAGCCCTTTTGTGTTTTTTTTTTTTAATTAAAAGAAAAGATATCCTACCCAGGTGATTCAGGTGTTTATTCTGCCGTGTAATGAGGAGTAAGGCTTGAGAACCACTAGTAGAGGCCCTGACGGGTAACTCTGCAGGTGGAGCCTTGGCTGTAGTGTCAGGACTATTGCCTAGAGCAGGGCTTCTCAATCCTCATGTGTACACAAATCCTCTGGGACTTTTGTTAAGCTGTGGGTTCTGTTTCACAAGGGCTGGGTGGGACCTGAATTCTGCATTTCTGAGGAGCTCCCGGGCGATGCCGCTGCCGCTGGTGGCACTGCCGCATGTGCCGCAGGGAGCGCATGGGGCCTCTGCAGTGTTTTGTTTTGTTTTTAACATCTCTATTGGAGTATAATTGCCTTACAGTGGTGTGTTAGTTTCTGCTGTATAACGAAGTGAGTCAGCTATACGTATACATATATCCCCATATCTTCTCCCTCTTGCGTCTCCCTCCCTCCCACCCTCCCTATCCCACCCCTCTAGGTGGTCACAAAGCACGGAGCTGATCTCCCTGTGTGATGCAGCTGCTTCCCACTAGCTATCTATTTTACGTTTGGTAGTGTATATATGTCCATGCCACTCTCTCGCTTCGTCCCAGCTTACCCTTCCCCCTCCCCATATCCTCAAGTCCATTCTCTAGTAGGTCTGTGTCTTTATTCCCGTCCTGCCCCTAGGTTCTTCGTGACCTTCTTTTTTTTAGATTCCATATATATGTGTTAGCATACAGTATTTGTTTTTTCTTTCTGACTTCACTCTGTATGATAGACTCTAGGTCCATCCACCTCACTACAAATAACTCAGTTTCGTTTCTTTTATCTCTGCAGTATTTTACATTTGACACACACCTGCATGTGTATATGTACTTAAATCTAATCACGTTTTTTAGGCACCAAACACCTGTCTGTAAAGTGGTCACTTTTAAATTTGTCTTTTACACACATATGGATTTTCATATATTGAGTTCGCTTTTATTGAGGCATACCTGTACCTTCGTTGTTGCTAAGTAAACCGTTGCTAAGAAACCTTACCATGTTAATTACAACAGCCCTTCTAGCTGAGGGCTGGAGTCCTTTGATCAGATCTGTTTGAAAACACCACCTCTTTTGGCTCCAGTGTTCAGCTGGAAGGAATATTGCTTTGTTTTACTCCCTTGACCCCCATAGCAACATTGGCCTCAAGTCAATCTTTGGCATTACCGAGGCCAAGGCGCTGCTGGAGGTCAGATTCTGGAGTCTCAGAAACCGTGGTGGTATGAAATGTTAAAGCGGTAGTACCTCTCTGGGTGCATTGGATAAGGTGCTGATGCTGATCCTGTCTTTGCATCTAGGTGTAAAGAACCTTGGGCGTTGTCCACATCAGGCTTGGGGAGCATCGTGCCTCTCACATGAAGCCCAACCCGCTGATTTCTACACCCCCTGGCTGTTAGGATAATAGAAATTACAGCTTTATTAAGCATTTGTGTGCCAGACGCTGTGCTAGACACTATTTAATCCTCATAACTATCTTATGAAGTAGGCATCATTATCGACCTTCTTGCAGAGAGGCTCAGAAAGGTTTGTTACCAAGCTCCGAAGTGGCACAGATGGGATTGAAATCCAGGTCCCTCTGACTCCAAAGCCAGTGCCTTTTCCCCTATACCACACTACTACCAATGTTAATTAACTTTCGTTGTGTTAAAAAAAAAAAATCTGCATTTTAATGATCTAGTTATGATGTAGAAATTTTATTTGAGATTTTGCCAGAGACATAAATAGTTAATATTTTAACAGAACTTTGTGGAAAAATGATTCTCATTTTGCTGAAAATAATAGTTTAAGTTCAAAACATCACTACCTTGCCTTCAATCAGAGTTGAACTGTTAGGGGTTTGGAAGCATATTACCAAATGCCTGGGCCAGCTTTGGGAACATTTTACTTTGTCATTGGAGCTGTAGGCAGGCTGAATTAAGAACAAGCTAGCTTGAGTTCCTGGAGCATAGGTACCATGTTACTTGTGTATTTTCTGGTCTCTCAAATGAACTGAATGATCTAAATACACATACACATACACACACATATATCCCCAAAATATTAGCAGCCCTTAATTAATACGTCGTGAAGTTTTTTTGCTTTTTGTTTTTTTGAAACTTTTAATTTTGAAATAATTATAGATTCACAGGAAGTTGCAAAGATAGTACAGAGGGGTTACCTCTTATTAACTATCATACAAGATGAAAACTAGGAAACTGATGTTGGTGCGATCTGTGTGTAGTTCTGTGCCACGTCATCACGTTTGTGGATCCTGTAACCACTGTCGAATTCAGATGCAGAACTGTTCCCTCACCACGAACGTCTCCCTCATGCTGGCCCCATTTATAGTCACACTCCCTCCACCACAGTTCCTCCCCCCAGCAATCACTGTTGCTAATTGAATTGTCTGATCTGAAATAGAGTATCATGTATATGGCTCATTGGATCTCTCACGGTCTGATGCTGAGTCTGCTCATATCAGTAGTGATCAATACCCAGGTTTTTAAGGGCTGATTGTAGTTTCAGTGACCTGCCTCCTGCACTCTTCCATGCTAGATTTTATGTCTTCTGTCTTATGGGTCTTTCGAGAACGCCTTGTAGAATCAGATCATTTGATGTCTCTAAAGCCCAAGGTTATCGGTTAAGTCATTTACTTTAGTAATTCTGGAAGTATATCAAACCGTAAAGTGATATATAAATATAGGGTGTATCATAATGTGACAGGTTTGCCAT